CATAGTACCTTTTGCCTTTTGGGCTGCTGAGGGCCATAGGGAAGCCCCAGTCATACAGAAGTCCTGAAGGACGTGTGCTCAAGGAGAGGAACACTGAGGTCATCCAAAGGCCAGGCTTCAGATGTTTAACCCATCACTCTTCTTTCTGAAAAGACTTGACGGGATGAAAGAGGGGTCAGGGGTAAAAAGCCAGGCTAGGAATCCAAAGAACTAGCCCCTGGCTTTTGTTTACCAAGTATTGTGGCTTGTGCTTTCTGAGCTTAGCCTCTCCCATCTATCAAATGAGGGCATTATAGCTATTGCAAATTTATTGAGCTTTTTGCTTTTTTTTTTTAAAAATTCCCAGAGCTTGGTTCAAATGAACTCTTACACAAAAGAAATTTACCCTAAATAAAGAAAGTAATCTTAGTTCAAGTAAAGCCCTATTTCACTCCCTGCTCCTAGCCTCTTGAGAGTATGGACTAAGCAGTTATAAAGGCCCATGTCCCATTAGACACTGTGGGAACCCATGCCATGTGGGAAACTGGAAGAAGAAAGAAATGAAGGATCATCTGGACTGTGCTGAGTCCTGGGCCTTCCTCCCACAGAGAAAGGCCGTCTCTGAATGGCATGCCTTCCTTCTGCCAATATTGACCAAAGGCCTGCTGCAGACCAAGCCCAGGCCCAGGTGCCATACCAAGGCAGGTCAAAAGGCTACTGGGCCTTTCTGGATCCCATTGTGTGAGAAGCAAAGTCTCCAAATCTGACACTTTATCTAGGGTTTTCTCAGGGAGAGGGACAGCTCTCAGTGGGCCTCTGAAATACACCCTTTTCCCCGAATCAGAATAGGGATGGTGAGGAATGGAGCTGGCAAATCCTCTTCTAGGCTAGTGCTAGGCTGAGCCCAGGTAATTTGCCAAATTGAAATGACTCAGTCAGGATTTGAACTCTGGTCTGCCTGACTTGAGGTTAAGGGAGTGCTGTTACCTTGGCTCTACCTCTAAGCTGACATTCCAGCACTTGCCAAGGGTTTGATAAATGGCTGAGTTGAAAATCTCTTAGAGTGAATGAAAAATGCTTTGGCAAACAGATACCCGTAGATCCTGCTTTACTCAAAAGCTAAATTGAGAAGTGGTAGTTTTTTTTGTCTTGTGATTGTTCTGTGCTATACACTCTGGCCACAGAGAGGACCAAGTAGGTTACCCAAGTAGGGTGACAGGATAAGATAGATAATCTTAACCACTTTGAGCAGAAGCTGGAGACTGTAGAGGATGCAGCAAAGTCATGGGATGTTCTAGAAGGGAAACCCCATTCCCAGGGGATGGCAATGTGATAGGTTGTTAAAACTCATTGCCTTAGAGTCAGAACTGACTCACAGCTTACCCTCTAGTAGGTTTTCCAAGGCTAGTAATCACATAGAAGGAGATCGCACATTTTTCTCCCTCAGAGCCACAAGTGGATTTGAACCAGCAGAGAGGCTACCACTTTTGCATTAGCAGTGAAACTCCTTACAGATTGTACCACCAGAGCTCACTCACTAACTCACTGATGCTGAGTCAGAGTCACCTCATTGCTAACCCTTCAGCGGCTTTTCAGAGGCAGTAAACGGCATGGGAGGAGATTGTCCATCCTTCTCTCACTTGTAGATTTGAACCTGTCTTCTAATTGGCAGCACAGCTCCTTACCACCAGGCCACCAGAGCTCCCTGATGAATTGTTAGAGGTTCTAAATTCTGGACTCAACATTGCTCCCACACTCCCAAAAAGTCTCTATAATGGAAGGCTGGGTGAATAGACTTCATCACCAAATTACAGGCAATGCTAAAATGACTTGATTAAGGATGGCTTATTAGTCTTTGACTCAACAAATATTTGATGAGCAAATTCTGCCAGGCTCCACGGTAGCGCTCAAGAGAACCTGACAGCAGCCCTTTAGGACAGGAACTTTTCTCCCCATTTCCTGTGAGGGGAGCCTTGCAACAGGGATGCCATATAGTCCACCTCCAAAGCAGAAAGTAGGGAGCTTTGCTGGCCAAGAAGTTGCACTGTAATACCGAAGGCATTCAAGGCCACCAGCCGCTCTGTGGAAGAAGGATGGAAAGTCTCTTTCCGAGTAATTAGCTGCCTCTGAAAACCCGTTGGAAGGACAGCTATGGGTTGGTTGACTCGACAGTACACAACAACAACAAAGCAGAAAGTAAGCCACTCACTGCATTTAGACCAGCGTCTCCTGATTCCAGGCTAGAAGCGATCAAGCTGTGTTTGGTGGGTACGTGTAGTGAAGGGGGTGGAGGGAACATGGATGTGTGACATGCCTAGCGAGGCGTAAGGACCCCACTAATATCCAGCATCAAGGCACAACACACACTTTGTTTCTTAATCTGACTATTTTGACCCCCTCTTTCCTCTGCACATACTGTTCCTGTTTACCTGGAATGCGGTCTTGACACTGCTTCCCCACTTGGCAGGCTTCCTGCATGTTCTTCACGGCCCACCTCCTATGTCACTTCTTGAAAACCCACCTTTGATTCGCCCCAGTCAAAATGAGCTCTCTCTCCAGAGCTGCCCCGGTGCCTTACAGTACCGCCTGTGGAAAGGCAGACCCTGCCAGTTTCTCTCTGTCGCTGCCTCCTCACTGGACCTTGATGTCAGGACAGGGTCTAGTTTCACCAGGGGCCCCAGCTTCAGCACAGGGCCTTGCACATGGGTCACTGAGTGTTTTAATGCATCCTAATGCAGCCACTTGCCTGGGTGGATGTGGTCTAACCCAGGATGTGAGTAGGCCATTCTTTCAAAGCAGAATTTGACCTTGACCTATACTAGTGGCAAAGTCTAGCAGAGAGGTTTGTCCTTGGCAACCCCACTGCCAAAAGGTACAGTTAAGCAGCTACTGAGTAAGGTCACAAGAGTAACGTAGTAATTCAGAGGCCTAAAGACCTCCAGAATATCATAGCAAGAATTAAATTAGGGCCTGAAGTAACAGTACTTACCTCTCTGAGCCATTGCTGCAAGGCTTTCATTCATAAGCCACCAGCTTTGCCAGGTCCAGGCGTCATTCATACAACGGGCTTATAAAAATCATTTGAATAGGTGATAATAGTTACATGGTTCAAAACTGGAAGAAGTGCAAAAGGGTATAGAATGAAGTCTCCCTTCTACCCAGACCTCAGAGCACAATGTACATTCTTCTGAAAAAATATTAACTCATTGCTGTTGAGTCTCAACTCACTTATAGCTCCAGCAGGTTTTGGAGTTTATAAATTACACTGGAGGAAATTGCCCATATTTCTCCCATGAAGCAACTGGTGCATTCGAACTACCCACCTTTAGGTTGATAGTGCATCTCTCTGTTCTCTAGGCCACCAGAGTGCTCTCTTTAAATAAACGTGTAAATATATATCTCCTTGACACCCTGACCAATTTTTGTTGTACATAAAAAGTAGCGTATAATACACATTGCTCCAAAGCATTCTTGTTACCTAGAATATAATTTAAGGAAAGATCAGGTGCACTGGTGGAAAGAAAGACACAGGGCTTATGCACTCAGCAGGCCTGAAACCTCCTCCCGTTTCCCAGTCTCTGATGTGAAAACCATGGCTTTTGAAACTGCCTCCTGACAGCTTCTGGAGAATAAAGATCTGATTAAATAAAAAGACCAGGTGCTGTCTGTGAGAAAGTTGGAGCCAGGGATCCCTCTGGGTTATGAGGAGAAACTGAGGCCCATCCCAAGGCCTCAGAGCTGGGATTCTCCTCTGGATCTTGTGTTCCACCTGGCCCAGCCTCAGAGCCCAGCACCAGGCAGTGCATGTAGCATATGGCAGTTGGTTCTTTGGCGTACCTCCCTTGGCTCCGATCTCCCACAGCCAGACCAGTTGAGGGCCTGCCTAATGTCATATTTCTTAACTTCCTCATTTTAAAAGCCAGAAAAAGATTCCTCTCCCTTACTCTAGCAAGGCAGAACACTACTAACCTTTCTTTCATCTCTGTGTAAATATGGCCCTCCTCGATGCCTTCAACGAGCCCTGGTGGTGTAATGGGTTACATGTTCAGCCCTGGTGGTGTAATGGGTTACATGTTCAGCTGCTAACAAAAGCAAGCAGTTCGAATTCACCAGCCACCCTATAGGAGGAAGACAAGGTGGTTTGCTGCCATTAATATTTACAGCCCCAGAAACACACTGTCCTTTTTCTCCCCAGCCTTTTGTCGATTGGAAACACCTTGACCAGATGCCCTTACTTGTCTTGTGTCACATACTATTCCAAAGCACATTCCTCGATGGTGTGTCATCTGCGACCACATAACTCTGGGAAGATTTAGATATTGCAGTATGGAGACAGTTGCTGTGAGGGGCACTAGGAGGCGACCTGGGCTCGAGGCTCCAGCCCTGGCTCTACCACACACCCTGAATGATCGGGAGCTGCTATCTGCTTGCAGGGCTCAGTTTTCTGGTCTGTGAAGGAGAGAAGAGGTGGCCATGTCACCTGTGCTGACAACATGACTAGTCTCGTGTTTAAGGGGAGTGACTTAGCCTTTTGAAATTCACGCTAAGTTGGTTGGTGGCTATAATTAGAGACCAGCACCCTTGGTTACAAGTCCATGGCACTTCTCCCCATCCGTGATGTTCCTACACATAACTTGCCTGACTGCAGTTCATCACTTGGAGGGTTTGGCTCCGGGGCCTCACAGTCGAAGGGCTGAGCCACCTGGACCTCAAGCATGATCCCACCAGAGGAGTAAGACCACAAAAGCGCTTAAGCATTTCCCTTTCACGTCAAGACCAGGCTACGGAGACAAACTTCCTCTCCCCCAGGAATATATTAAGTCCAGTGTCTAGCAGTCAGCAGGGCTGGTTCGGGCACCTGAGTTTAGGAGTGGCCAGGTTTCCTGGGAGAAGTACAGGCATGGTGCCAAGAGTCAGGCGAGCTATCTGCACATGGGAACCTGCCAGTCCAGGTTCTGCCCTGTGGTAACCTGGGCCCAGACATGCCTCTGACAGTCTTGTGTTTTGTTTTTTCTCTGCAGAAGCTGACGGGTCGTCTCATGCTGGCCGTGGGAGGGGCAGTGCTTGGCTCCCTACAGTTTGGTTACAATACTGGAGTCATCAATGCCCCCCAGAAGGTGAGTGCTCTGCCACGTACCACAGACTCATACAGCCCCAATGGTGACACCTGTCACATACATTAACTCACTGTCTATCTCACTAACCAGTTCTCTTGCTCTGACCAAGTCAGAGTCACTTGGCCTTTGGCCTCGGAGCCTTGGGACTGAAGAATCCTAGATTATTAGGGCCCATAGAATCACAAGTCTTTATAGATCAGTCCGACCTTTATAGATCTTACCCAACACAGCCACCCCATTGAATAGGCAATGCTCGGTAAATTGATGTTGTGCTTGCAAAGCGTCCTGGGGCCTACAAAGAACTCTCTCATTTTTTCTTAACTTTTATTTTATATTGGTTTGCTTACAAAATTCATATACATTGTCCTTCACACTATCCTTTATTGACATTACAAAGAATTTTCATGGTGCTGATCAATCAGTGCCCCCTGACACCCTGTAAGGCAGCCAGGTAATGACCACTACTCCCATCTTGCAGAGACAGTGTCCTGAGAGAAGAATCTTCCCCAGATCCTCCAAGTGGGCAGGGATGGAGCCTGTCTAGTGGCCGTGGAGCCTGTGCTCACAGCCATCTAGACAGGAACACACTTGTGAGGCGTCACGTTCTAGGGTGAAAATACCTCCTCTCTGGCAGCCTGTGCCTATCAAAGCAAAGATGGCACCTTGCCCCAGGGAACTGAAAGGGGTGGAGGTCTATGCTTGACTTCCTTCTCCGCAGAACGCATCCTAGATCTGCCCTCACTTGTTCACCTGAACATCTGGACGAGAAGGGACCTTGGTGATTCCCGCCAGCCGAGCCTACTTGCTTTACGGAGAAGAGGGAAAGAAAGAAGGGATCACAGAGAAATGGTCACCCTCCTCTGTGCCAGGCATTTTACATAGGCTCATGAGGCTGGACAGAGATTTCCATTTTATAGACCCAGAAACGGAACTCAGGCAAATGCAGTAGATGACAGACCAAAGTTGCACTGCTAGTGAATGGTGGAGCCAGAAGCCAAACCTGGGTGCTGCTACAACCTCAGGCTGGCTCTCTTGGTAACTAACTTCTCTGGGCCTTGTTAGTAAAAATGGTACCTTCCTGGAGAGGATGAAGTGTGAGTAAAAGCCCTGTCCACAGCCGGAGAGCGAGCATACCTGGCTTCCAAGAACCAAGGGCCTGTTTAGGGGAGCTGGGCAATGACAGTCAGAGCTGGCCCTCCTCCAGATAGGCGGAGGGTGGCTGTGGGGGCCACGCCTGGCATTGGGGAGGAAGGCCTGACCTGCTGAGTCATACATACTCAAGCTGTAGCGGAGGTGATGGGACTTTTCCATACTTGCCTGAAATGGTGACTGAGGGCCATTTGCCTGGAACAATCCCAAGCCCTGCTTCTGCTAAGTGCTCTGAACAGCTCATGCCAATAAGTCTCCCTTGGAGCTGGCTCCTTCATTAATTCTTAAAGGTAAAGATGCTTACAGAGGGGGAGGAGCTAGGTTCTGAGGGAGTTTGTGTCCTTCACCTTGGTTGCACATTGAAATGCTCTTTGGATATTGAATTATTCAAAGCTCCCCAAGAGATTCTATTATGCATCCAAGGCAGAGAACTCCTGGGATTAGTGATATCTTTACAGCGACTGGGAGCACTGGTGTCATCGTGTGTTACATATCGTGTGTTACATATCGTGTGTCATCGTGTGTTACAACCTCAGGCTGGCTCTCTTTGTAACTAACTTCTCTGGGCCTTGTTAGTAAAAATGGTACCTTCCTGGAGAGGATGAAGTGTGAGTAACTTCACAGGAGAAAGATGAGTAGTCTCTTCCCATAAAGATTTACAACCTCTGAAACCCATTGATGTGAGTTGGAATTGACAGCAATGGGATGGGGTCGGTTTTGACAGTGATTAAATGGTGAGTTAAGAACAGCACTAGGACTCTCCAAGCCAGAATTCATGGTCAGGATCAAGGTGTTTTCCAGAGACAGAACCCGAGGGAGAGAAGGAAGGGATGCCACAAAGGCAAGAACAGAATTCCCGCAGGAGAGAAGAGCCTGGCTTTTGGAACAGGGTGAAGAGCTTGGTGTGTCACTAGGGTGGTGGGCGTAGAAGATGAGGAGGCCAACAGGTGAGTAAGCCACAGCCCCATATATGATGAGTATGAATATGTTTGATCTACCAAACACGCCACTATCAATAGCATGACCCAGTCACAGTGGGTGTATCAGGACCAACCTGAGCTAGCGAATGTGGACTTTAGCATGCAGATGACAAGGAGCCATCGATGTAGCCAGATATGATCAGATTTGTATTTTGAGAAAATGATTTAGGCATTTGGTGAGGGGAAATGGATCTGATAATGTGTGACTCAAAACAGGAAAACTACTGAGAAAGCGGTCTTGCAATACAAGATTTAAAAACAAAGCAAACCCAACAACAGAAGGAAGAATGGACAGGATTTAGTAATCCATTTCATGTGAGGACAAGAGTGAAGGGGGTGTGAGTTACGACGAGCAACAGCTGTTCAGAGCCAATAGGTCACCTGAGGGATGTGTAGGAATTGACATCTGATAGGACATCTGATAGGCTGGAGATGTGTAGGAGCCATGTGCCACGGTCTTAGAGTGAGTGGTCACCTGGAGGAAAGGCTTGGTAGGAGTGGATGAAGATGTTCTATAGAGAACTTTCTTCTCTATTGGGTAGAAGAAAGTCTGAGGTAGGAGACTAGCTAGATCTCTGAATGAGGAGAAAAGATTTTTTCAAGGCAAAGGGAGAAAGTAAGCTTCATAATCCAAACTCTTCAACTTAACTTATTGCTGTTGAGTTGGAACCAACTTCATAGTCGACCCTCCATCAGCTTTTCAGAGGCTATATGTTGCAAGGCAAGACCAGTCCTTGAAGAGAGATGTCATGCTTGGGAGGTTGGAGAGACAACACAGGAGAGGAAGACCCTCGATGAGATGGATTGATTCCATCACTGGGGTAATGGGGTAGTGTAGCAGAGGTAATAAGATAGGCACAGGACAGAGCAGGATGTAGGGCTATTGTGCATAGGGTCACTATGAGTCGCGAGTGATTCGACGGCACACGACAACAACAACATAAATCGCATGGAAGGAGATTGCCCATCTTTCTCCAACATATACACAAAAGAGGTTGGCACATCAGGAGTCCTTAAAACAGTGCCTATTTATAGTAATAGGCGCTCAGTAAATCATGGGTTGGTGAATGAAGTAAAGAAATGTCAGATTCCTGAGAGAGTGAATGAGACAGGTCTCCTCCATGTTGCTAAAGTCAGAGGACATAGTAGGACCTTGGCAGAGGTGGGATGTGGAACCACATGGATAGAAATATAATGCAATGAGTTGAAGAGAGACAGACTAAAGTTAGTTAAGGAAGGAGAGAGATAAGCAAATTATGGGAGACGATTTTCAAGGAGACAAAAAGAGGGGGAGAAGGGATTGGATTTGATCAGGAGGTACTATGGCTAAATATTGGATGAAGATCTCCACTCCTGCCTCCTCTCATCTATTAGAATTGGTGTGAAAACGGATGGTGCGGAGGACTAGACTCTCAAAGGACTTATGGGTGTGGCAGCACCAGAGAGTCCAGCTGAGGAACACTGTGGCCCCATCCATAGGTCCCTTTAGACACCGCCTTCGCATAGAGAAGCCACAGACTGACCAGACTTGATAGCACCCAAGTGTACACACTAGAATCTACTGACATTTCCGGGGTGAGCAGTCAGGCCTTCAGTCTGTTTACTTTTGCACTTCAGACACTTCTCAGAAGCCTGACTTTAGTTCTTCTAGCCAGACGCAGATTAGAAGCTATAAATTAAAAATGGAAAGAGAGGCTAAGTGGACACTGTTGTAAGAAAGCCAAATGCCGTTCAGAGCCAATGTTAGTAGCAGGGCATGCAAGGTAACGTGCCTTAGTAGGCTAGGCACTCAAGGCGTCATCCGAGGATGACACAGTGATTCAGTGCTGCCAGCACTTTCATGCAGCAGACTTCCTGAGCACCACTATTGTGAACGTGCTACATATTGTTCTAGACAGTGGGGAGTGATTTGATGTCTGTCCCTGAAAAGTTGATTCCAACTCATGGTGACCCTACAGGATTGAGTAGAACTGCCCCATAGAGTGAGTCTTCTCAGTTGTCATCTTTCTTGGATCACTAGTCTTTTCCCCTGTGGAGCTGCTAGTGACTTTGACCAACCTTTTAGTTAGCAGCCAAGCACTTAAACATTGCACCACCAGGGCTCCTTGGTAATGATAAGTCTGTGAACAACACAAGCAAACCCTGACCCTCATGGAGCTTGTGCAAAATGTGGTTTGCCTGGGTTGGTGCTGTCCTCAGGAAGCAAAGGTGAGCTGGACCTGTCCTTGTCCTCAAAAGCTAGAGGAGCCTAGAAGTACAGCCTGTAAAAAAGTTGGAGTTTATTCATGGAAGGTTTTCAAGGGGCATGTCAGGTTGTATCCTTTCTCCATACCTATTCATTCTGTACACTGAGCAAATCATTCAAGAAGCTGGACCCTGAAGAGGAATTTGGCATCAGGATCATAGGACAATTCATCAACAACCTGCCTTATGCAAATGACACAATCTTGCTTGCTGAAGTTGGGAGGACTTGAAACATTTGTTACAGAAGATCAAAGACTATGGCTTACATCTCAACTTGAAGAAGACAGAAATCCTCACCACTGGACCAATGAAAGAGAAAAGATTAACGTCAACTATTTCATCGTACTTGGATCCACAGTCAACACACTTGGTCCAAACAGTCGGGTGATCAGTGATGTCAGCTTGAAGACTAAGATGTGTCTAGTTCAGGGGTGATCAGTGATGTCAGCTTGAAGACTAAGATGTGCCTAATTCAGGCCATGGTCATTTCAATAACTCACTATGTGTCTGAAAGCTGGACAGTGAATAAGGATGACAGAAGACTATGCCTTTGAGCTGTGGTGTTGGAGAAGAGTAGTGAATGTCCTATGGACCGTCAAAAGAACAAACATATGTCTTAGAGAGGGT